CAAAGGTAGGAAGCGCGACAATGATAGCTTCAAATAAGTACAGCAGAGCGTAACATCTGTCCTCGGTCATCATGGTTTAATGGTATTTTTTTGTAAAACAACCATTTGTTCGTGTGAAAAAGTCAAATTTCCATCACACTCTGACCACATTACTAACGTCTGTCTGAGTATGGCTAGAATGGGAGAGCAGACAAATTGGAGGTATTAAGATCAACAGGATATGGCGGCCATTTTGGTTGCTGGCTACAGCCGAATGAAGCTATCCAATCGGCCAATTAAGTTGGGGAACTTTGGGGGCACAAGATGGGCTCGGATCGAGGGTGAGGTTGAAACCGCTTTCTGGCCGAAACTCCGACAATTTCTCATCACCAACTCCAAGAGAAGCAGCAATGTCTCAGTGGACCATCTCAAATAGACACATCTCTTTAAAAGGAGGCTGAAGAGAAAGAAGAGAGGAGGAGGAATGTACCAGGGCAAAAAAGAGTGCCTCCAAATCTATTCAACATTAGATTTCATTCAAACTAGATTGCATAAAGTTATGAAGAGATGATAGCTCATGTTTTCATTAAAAAAAATATATATATAAACATAAATATAGTATACAGATTCATTTATAAATGCCATATTCATATATATTCATAAATATATAAATATACATATTCATTTATATATATGTCATATTTGTATATATTTATAAGTATATATATATATATACATATTAACATAAATATGGTATACAGATTCATTTATAAATGCCATATCTATATATATTCATAAATAAACAAATATATACATACTCATTTATATATATTTCATATATATATATATTTATAATAAATGTAATAATAATATATTATTATAAATATTGATCGTCATCAGGCTCATGACTTGGAGCAAGAATTCTTCCTCCACAAGAAACAAGCTGGGAAAAAGAGCTACAACCACTTCTATTAATTGATATTTGGTAGTTTTATTCAGCCTTCAAATCGCGAAGGATTGTAATAACATGCTGTTTGTCCAGGATCCGAACATCCTCATTTTGTATGCTACCATCTATTAGGCAGAAAGTACAGCCCAAGTCTTCTCGAGGCTCCTGGTACATGCAAAATGCAAGGACACGATCCTTTTTTGAAAGCTTTATGGCAGACTTTGCGACTTGATATGAAGCGTGTGACTGCAGTCTGTTGGCAAGATT